TTTGGGCCCATCAAACACCACATATTAGAGGTTAAGGGAATAAATTGTGTTGTACAACTTGCATCTCAAATTAAATTATAGCAAAACTCAATCCCCAGACAAATTCCAGAAGAGAAAAAAAGGTGAAATGCTCAACTAATGTTCTCTAGGCCGAATTACTCACCCCTTCGTACTGGCTAAAAGGAGGCTTGGATGTAGCCATTTCTAAGACGGTGCATCCAAGACTCCATATATCAACAGCAAGGTTGCAGCCACTAGAATTCTTTATAACCTGAAACATTAGCAAAGAGACACTTTTAAGTCAAACTATAAGCAACCAAGGCGCATGCAAAATTTTTAATTACTGCCCAAATCATTCCTCACCTCGGGGGCCATCCAGTAAGGGCTTCCCTTGAATGATAATGGACATGATTGTCCTGTAATCTGCAAATTTGCGATTGAAAAATTAAAGACATGAGGCTCAGCCTGAAGAGCACACCTACAGAGGGTAAAAGTGTCCCTGATGGTACAGTATTGACAATAACACCAGTGCATGACTTAATGGATTAAGTTCTGTATTTATCACTCCAGAAACAAGAAACAAAACTAGATGATTAGAAAAAATGTTGTCTATTCCAACAGCAATAATTTAGAGATCAAAGAGCAGATTTGAATAAAAAAACCATATGACATCTAATTGATTATATCATACAGCAAATTGCTATCATCTAACATATAACTCCTTAGAAGTCTATGGGTAAACTTACATGTTTTGCCATTCCAAAGTCTGCTAACTTTATGCGCCCATTTGGATCAACAAGAATATTTGCTCCTTTAATATCTCTGTGAAAATGCAGAGTTAGGCAATCAGGGTACAAAGGTAAAGACTGCTAAAAGAATGATTTTACGAAAATGATCCAACCAAAGAACATAATTACCTATGCACTGTGTTTTTAGCATGTAAATATGCAAGCCCTGATAAGATTTGTTGAGTATAACTACGGATCGCTGTTTCTCCAAATGCACCATATTCTTGTAAAAGCTTATAAATGGACCCGCCCGATACATATTCCAAGTAGATATACAGTTTATCGCCAACCTGATTGAGGTAAACAATTCAGAAAAAATGTCAGCTCAAAAAGACGATAAAATTTCGGAGCGCGAGAAAGTCTGTTCTTTCCTTTCGGTTTATTCACTGCTCTGAAACTTAGCACTTGTTTTATTGATTCATAGGACGGAAAAGTATATGGCTCTCATATGATCAGGTTTATAGTTGCTCCCTACTTAAATCTCGCANATATGATCAGGTTTATAGTTTCTCCAGACTTAAATCTCGCGACTAAGCTTTGGAGTGATAGGATTATGAACCAAATTCTTTAACAGTAATTAACATATCAAGCTCTCAATTGATAAGGCTGCAAACTGTGTCCGAAGCTCACCGTTTCTGTCCCGTAGTACTGAACAATGTTTGGATGCCTCAACCGGCTTAACAATGCAATCTCCTGCAAAGTACTTGAATATAAGAGCATACTCAAACATGAACACATAAATATATTATGACTCGGGAATCAACAACTCTAAGCAGTCCACAAACATTAAACCTTCAATAGACTGCTCCCTATTGGAAAAACTTACTTGAGCCAACTGCTTTGCACTTTCTTTTGACTTTGCATCATCTGAAAATAATGTAACCTCCTTCATTGCACACATTTCACCACTATCACTGCAGAATAGACAAGGCCAGGTATTAAACAAAATCTTCAGACGATCAATAGTAGAATTGGACATGTCAACATGTTGGATTTGTATTTACTTCAAAAGGCCATGGTAGTGAATGTACCTGTTAAAACCAACATAAACATGTCCAAATGTGCCTCTACCCAGCAATTTCCCCTTTTTCCAACGAGAGCCAGGGCTAGCAAGGTTCTCAGCTCTACCTGGACTTCGAGGCACCGAGGGAGATGTTGCAACTGAATTGGAATGTGAAAAGGGCGAAGAGTTGGAGATTGTCAAAGGAGGAAGAGGCAAAGGGTGACTTTGCAGTTTTCCATCATCAGGCCAACTAGACTGCAATTCAGAGGCTCCACCTACAGCCCTAGGATGAATTGGTGTGACGGCGCCACTGTGAATTCTCGAGCTAGGTCCTGGACTTGTCATCCTAGGACTAGGAATTGGTGAGTACTCTGGACTTCCTCTACAAGGCTGCCAAAACAGTTGTCCTGACATATCTCCTCCCATTGAATTATGCCCAGAATTCTGACCAGACCCTGGGCTTGAACAATGGCCAGATCCAAGTGAAGGAAGATCTGGATAAGCCCTTCCTGCCCATAGAGTAGAACTAGTAACTTGCTCACTTCCAGCAGTTCTCATAGGACTTCTAGAAGGACTTGACATAGAACTATCAGGGGCACTGCAAAAGGCTCCATGAGGAGGGACCTGTATATTGGTCACATGACTACTTAAAGGTCTTCTTTTAGGAGATACAGAGGAAACATTTTTACTTGGCGAAAGACTAACTGGTCCTGTTGTTTCTTTCAAGCTAATTTGTCCAGCCGCAGATTGATCCTTAACAATCAAACTTCAAAACCAACAAGAAAAAGAATTGTGTCAATCAGGGTACTACAATTACATATCAAAAGAAAGCACCAAAGTTTTTAACAAGAAAAAACACTAGCCAAAGAAATTAAGGCCAGCCAAAGGTAAAAGAGATGACTTTTCAAAGAAAAGAATCGATAATGACCAAATTTTCCTCTGAATGACCTTCTACATTTGCTAACCTGGAAGGACTACCAATAGCAGTTCTGCTCCCAGTTTCATAATCAGATGCAAGTGGACTACGTTGACGTGAATCAGCAGGATCATCACTCTCAATAGAGCACTCGCTTGAAACAGATGCAAAGACAAGCTCTCCATCTGTATCTGCAGGGTCCAGTCTGTGCCTGATGCATGCAGGCTTGGGGAGAGGCAGAAACAAGGATGGCTTTGAGCCCTTCTCCACTCTGGACTTTGCGGATGCACTGATTCCAGAGTCTGACCGACCTACATTTGCTGGACGCAGACCAGGAAGTGGTAGTGGTTGGGCCAGAGGCCTTTCAGCAAAGCTTTGACATCTTGCTACATGTTTGGAAGGCGATGATGCTCTTGATTGTGCTTGGGACAGAGAACCCTTCTCAGAAGCAGTGTCACTGCTATGTCTTCGAGAACCTCCTGATTTACTGGGAGATTTAATTTCAGCTGGACTCTTAAACTTGCGATGCAATGTGTCAATAAAACTTTCTTTTGTTGCTTTCTTCTTAGCTTCTTTTGATGATGACTTCCACCATGAAGGCATATTTCCTTTTGCTATAAATTAGCAAAATCAAACAAATTACTACAACATTATTTTCAAATATCCAGACTTGTATAAGACAATAAACCTGCAAGCAGAAAAAGACTGGCATGATCTAGTTACGAATAATAGAATCTCAATCCGTTGCTACAATCCATATGTCAATCCCGCCATATATTTGCAAATCAAGATTTTTGAAGATAAATATTACATAAATGATATTCCAACAAACAGGCATGAAGTTAAACAGGACCAAGGACATACTTATAGATGATAGAAGTAGCCAACTAAAGCAGTCAGCTTCATAATACAACCATGGTAACCAATAGTTATGTCAGTTCATCAAAAAGAACGTGGACAATCAATTAGAGGCCAAGTGGTTAAGATTTTAGACAAGCATAACTAAGGTGACATTATCAAACCTTGTTTCACCTTCCTATTGATAGGCGTAAACAGATAGTTTTGTATCAAAAATTTAACTTTCACTTATAAATAATATGCATAATAAAACAGAAATTGCTACCCCATTTCTTTATTTACTTGATCCTTCGACATGTAATCAATCATTTTCCACTACGAGAAACTTCCTAGCAAACCGATTAAACACAATATGGCCTGAACATGAAATAGTACCCATTATCCAATTCGAAGGAATAACTCCCTTTTATGCTTATACAATTTCAAAGATTAATGAGTATCCAGATATTAGAGAACCCTTGACTCACTCACGCCAATCAAAACTGGTGAGAGGAACTACGACGAAATCTCCTGTACCCAAATTCTTTTTAGAATCACAACTCAAAAATATTGTTTTTTTCATTTCTTGCCATCTACGGGTGTTTGCATCAAACTAATAGATGCATAACACGTGTATTTTACATATATCTTTTATCACTTATTCACAGTTAATCAATGTTTCAATATGCAACTAGTGTTTGTTCCGCTTAGAAATAAATCAACTACTGATCTCTCAGTGTTGAGTTACAGTAATCAGCATGATCTCAAAAATTCGAAATACACAGCTTTTCCAGGCAGATCTAAAACACTAACAATGCACTTAAACTAGTAAAAAAAGTACAGATTTTTAACAAGTTTAATAGTCAGAAATTTGTTCCTAAAATTGAAAACAAAGATCACGAAAATCTCACCTGTAGAGTGCTGAGCTGTCACATATCGAGCACGAAACAGCTCGCTTTCAGATTTGGCCTGCTGAATCCAACTCAGATATTAGCTCAAATGAAACCCTAGAAAAATCTCACTCGCTCTGTCCCCGCTCCGAGATTTTTCTGAGAGGCAGAGATAGAGAGAGAAATAAAGAGATAAAAAAGCGTCCAGAATTCGAATTGGAGAAAGTGATTTTAGAAGAGATCGCGTAAGAATGGAGATGAGAGTTGAGAGAGAGGAGTGAGAAGAGCTAAGTATAAGAGAGAGAAAGAAAGTGGAGTGGAAAAAGAGGTGTACGAGTTAAAGAATTTAATAATAAATCATACTATATTTTTTAAATAAAATAGTGTATTTTTGACTATTTTATTATGAAATCAATTTGCATGTACAACTCTTTTTTAAATCAATTTACTTCTACTTCGACTAATATGCATAGCATCTTTTTTATTAATCTTTGCTAAATTATGTCCAAAGAACTATTGAAGCTATAAAAAAAAGAGTATATCAATTGTTGCCGATGACAAAGGTCAAAGTGAGGTGAGGTACTTCTTTTATTTTGAATAGGGGATCGCTTTTTTTTTTTTTGTAATAAGAATTTGAACTTAAATATTTAATTACTCGATCATTTTCAGAAAAACTAATGCATTTGGGACAAGGTGAAAAGAGTTTGACCAAAAATATTTTCATATTTTGATTGTGTTGTTTCAAATTTTTGTTTTGTTGCAAATCTATCAAACAACACAATTTCAAAACTTCTCAAATATTTGGCCAAATATTGTTTTACAGGAGTTTCGTTAAAAAAAACAACCTAAATGGTAGTAATATAATGTAAGAATTTAACAATGAATGACAATTAATGTTATAAAATACGGAAATAAATTTTATAATTATGAAATAATTAAAGTTGGGATAAAATTGTGTGCTCTTTCTTTAATTCTCTATTGTTTCCTTTATGCTTTTTGGAGGTGTGGCTCACGCACGAAGCAATCAACGTCTGCCGTGTACGTGGGATTATGATCCAACGGTCAATTATTTTTTTCATTTTCTCTTTTGGTTGGTATTATATTTATTTTTAGTTTTTTGGTTGGTATCATATTTATAGCTATGTGAAGAGTAATCTTTCTTTGATATGGACAATGTAGAGCACCTTAGTACATTTGTACTTGAAAGTTGAAAGTGACAGACAAGTAAAATAACAAATAATTTCATTTTATTTCTCTTTTTTCCGTTCTGGAACAATTACACAAACCTCCCCTGAAGTTTGAATTTGTACATGTGCTTGCCTAGTGATTTTATTAGATATTACACAAACATCCATTTTTATTGTTTTATCTATCTATATCTATATTATATTAAAAGCACGAAGGCCCTCAGCGAAATATCGTTCATCTTTTTTACCCTTTTAAAATAGAATTCACATTAGACAAAATAGTCATTTTATTATTTTTCTATTTAAGAATTTGAAATCACTAATTTTTTGTTATTATATATTTTCTTATTTGAATGTTTCCAATATTTAAGACTTTAAAGTTAATTAAGTTTTTATCTTTTATAAATCCTTTCCTATTTGAAATATGCAATCTAACAATATTACCTTTCATGTTAATTTTCTTAACACTTGTAATGTTGGAATACACTAAAATATTGTTCACAAATCCTTCTCAACCTTAATCGGCAAATTCCCTAATCTTTATCTAATTTACACTAACTATTTGTTTGTGCATTAGTTTGTATGAGTCCACCAAACAGTAGAGTACCTAGTCCTCTATGAGGTTGTACTGAGAATGCTAATAAAACAGTAAGTAAATAAGACACGGGATTTTTACATGGAAAAATCTCACCTCAATGGGACAAAAATCACGCCCTACACCTGTAGGTTTTTAACTTCACTAACTTATAAACACCTATTACAAGCCACTTTGTAATGACTCCATTACAAAGAATTCAACTCAACTAACTTGTGATACTCTTACCACAAGCCACTTTGTCACTCTCTAGTTACAAAAACTTTAACTTATGACTAAACCTAGTCACAACATAAACTCAGAGAGTTTACGGATTTTACAAGAGGGTTCCTAATCAATGCTTCTTTCTAAGCAACTTAGGAGATACAATAAGAACAATCACAAAGTTACAACTCAACTATGGACAACAAAATACTAACTTTAGGAACTGGTCCGTAGTAGCGTTTAACTTTATTCTTCAAGCTCGTGAGAATTAATTTCTCAGTTTTGCAAAAGGCTTGAATGAGAAACTGAAGTGTTCAAGTGATGTTTTGATATAAACTCATTATTGATACACCTTGATGACATCACTTGAAATGATGTAAGCACTTTAGTTGGTCAAGGAATAAGTGGCCACTGAAAACAGTGCAATACGGGCAGAAACAGTGCAGACAGTCACGTCGCTTCCAGTTGTATCCCATTGACATCGTACTACTATGAGGGAACCACAAGGGTATCATGTCCTTGTTTGGTTCTCTATCCCCTAAAGCTATAGCAGTTCACATTTAGCTGAAATCTATTAACTTGCAGTGTAGCCTAAGTGTGCCAGGTTCCCTATCTGGTCCTTGACAGTAAGTTTGTCAGATCATCAAAACATAAGTCAAAGATATTGAAAACCTATCAATTTTCCCCTTTTTGATGATGACAAACTTAAACATTGATAACGTGTATTTAGAGCAAGAAGAACCAGATAAAGTAACAGGAACTCATAAGTTCCCTCTAACTTTATGCCTTCCTTTTTGAATCATGTTCCCCCTGAATTTAGGGCTGCCTTCTTTTTGAATCATTTTATCTTTATCTTTATACTTTATTTATTCTCTCTTTTGGTATCATTAAAAAGACACAAACAGTCAAACATCATAAAGAAGTCTAGCCGAGCTAACTTATGCCACATATGTACACACAATATGATAGAGAAGAGAATTTAAAATTCAAGCAATTAGACAATAAAAGATGATAGATTTTATATAGATAAAGATTTTATATGCATTTTCTTAAAAAGCAAAGGCAACATTGGACTGAACTGGGGCGGCTAGTGGATCTCCAGGTGCTGCCCTAGCTGCTGTGCGAGCCACACCTCTACCCCTACCGCGACCACGACTGCGTCCTCGGCCACTAGTGGACATAGCTGGTGGTACTGGTGGTCGTCCATCCCCTCGGGCAATATCTCAGAAATAATACCAACCCCTCAGGCTATATTTCGCATCACAATGGGTACACGCGCTCACTGGGGGTGTGCAAACTCCTGGAGGGACCCCTTACAGCCCAAGCGCAATATCAAGCCATCTCGTGGCATCATCACTAGGCTCTCGGGCTCACATCAACAAGCCACCTCATGGCGTACAAATCTCAGGCCCTCGGCCTCATAATCATAATCAGTGTTTCTTCACAACATAGGCCCTCGGCCTTACTCAGACAGAATCTCATAAGCCACTCGGGCAATAGTAAAACATGATGGTCAGCCCAAAAAATCATTTAAGTGTTAAAGCAGAGTAAACATGACTAAGTTATGAAAACAGTAGAATATAGCATGACTGAGTTTAAGTATAAGGTCAAAACAGTGAGGAAATATCGGTAAAATACCATAAGGGTTCAAATAGTTGGCACGAGGCCCAAATATGACATTCAACCCAAAATAAAATGATAGCAAATAGATTTCAATAAAATACGCGGTAAAATAGTCATTCGGGACGGACTAAGTCACAATCCCCAATGGTGCACGACCCACGCTCGTCATCTAGCGTGTGTGTCACCTCAATATAGCATAACGATGTGCAATCCGGGGTTTCATACCCTCAGAACAATATTTACAATTATTACTCACCTCTACCGGTCACAATCTCTAGCTCGCGATGCCTTTGCCCCTCGAATCGGCCTCTGGATGCTCCAAATCTAACCAAAATCTGTGCAAAACCATTAAAATATGCTAAGGGAATAAAGCTCACTCGAAAGAAATTAAATAACAACACAAATCCCGAAATTTCTGACCCTCTGGCCCACGTCTCGGATTTTGATAAAGTTCACATCAATGGATTCCTTATCACTCCCCCAGTTCATTCATACCAAAAGCGTCAAAATCCAACCACAAATGACCCCTCAAATCCCAAATTCTAGATCTCCAATTTCAAGCCTTAGTTCTTCAATTTTAGGCTTAATTTCCATGATTAATTAGGTAGATTTCACATTAGAATCGAGTATTAAGTCCATGAATCTTACCTCTAAGTGTTTCCCAATCCCTCGTCAATCCTCTTCAAAAAGCTCCAAAATCACTCAAAAATGGTGGAAATAAACCCCAAAATCGCGACAAGACGGCTATTTAAACATTCTACCCAGACCTCAATTCCTTCTTCGCGAATACGGTCAACGCCTCGCGTTCGCGAAGCACAAACCAACTTTGACCAAAACTCCTCTTACGCAAATGTGATATGCCCATCGCGAATGCGATGGTTCCTCAGACTAACCCTTCACGAACGCACTCCCTCTCTCGCGAACGCGATGAACAACTCAACCTCAAACCCAGCTGCTCGATTTCCTCTACGCAAACGTGCTCCCCTTCTCGCGAACGTAATGCCCAATCACTTAGCCCTTCGCGAACACGGAGCCTTCCTCGTGAACGCGAAGGCTAAAATCTCAGCCTTCACCAGATAACCCTTCACAAACGCGAGGACCTACTCGCAAACGCGAAGGTCTAATTTCTCTGCAACACTCAGCAGTTTTTCTGCAATTTACAACAACAAAAAATGGTCTGATTGACCACCCGAAACTCACCTGAGGCCTCCGAGACCTCAACCAAATATTCCAGCATATCTCATAACCTCATTCAAACTTGTTCCAACCTTCGGAACGCTCAAAACAACATCAAAACACTCAATTCGCATCGGATTCAAGCCTAGGAATTCCAAAACTTCTAAATTACGCTTTTGATCAAAAACCCAACCAAACCACGTCCGAATGACCTGAAATTTTGCACAAACATCCCAAATGACACAACAGAACTACTGCAACTCTCAGAATTCCATTCTGACCCATATATCAAAATCTCATCTATCAACCAGAAAACGCCAAAAATCCAATTTCGCCAATTCAAGCCTAAATCTACTCCAGACCTCCAAAAGACATTCCGATCACCCTCCTAAGTCCCAAATCACCTCCCGAAGCTATCCGAATCATCAGAACTTACATCCGAGCCCTCTAACACATAAGTCAACATCCGATTGATTTTTCCAACTTAAGCTTCCTCAAAAGAGACTAAGTGTCTCAAACCTTACCAAATCCTT